TCCCTAGCAGTTTCCACCCCTTATAGGAGCCAGGCACCTAAAGTACCCTGCCACAGATGGGTATAAACTTTTCAGGAAAGACAGGCAGGAGAGAAGAGGGCTTTATGTAAAAGAACCATATGATTGCTCAGAGCTCCAGTATGAAACTGGAGATAGGCCTGTTGAAAGTCTCTGGGTTAGGGTCAGAGGGGAGAGTAACAAGGGTGATGTCATGGTAGATATGTGCTATAGACCACCAGACCAGGAAGATAGGGTGAATGAAGTTTTCTTCAAACAGCTAGCATAATTTTCCTGATCATAGGTCCTAGTTCTCATGGGGGACTTCAATCACCCTGCCATCTTCTGAGAAGACAATACAGAAGTGCACAGGCAATTCAGGAAGTTTTTGGAGAGTGTTTGAGACAACTTCCTTGTGTAAGTGTTAGAAAAGCCAACTACGGACCGTACTTTTCTGGACCTGATGTTTGACTTGCACAAAAGAATTGATGGGGAATGTAGTAGTGGATGACAACTTGGGAAGCAGCAACCACAAACTGATTGAGTTTATAATCCTGAGGAAAGGAAGGAAGAAGAGTAGCAGAGTATGGATTCTGGACTTCAGAAAAACAGCCTTCGACTCACTCAGGGAACTGATACACAGGATCCCCTGGGAGGCCAGTCGAGGTGGGGGGGAAGGGGAAGGAGTCCAGGAGAGCTGGTTGCATTTTAAAGAAACCTCACTGAGAGCGCAGGAATGAACCATAGCAATGCACAGGAAGACTAGCAAGTATGGCAAAAGACCAGGTTGACTTAGCAGGGAACTCTTTAGTGAGCTAAAACACAAAAAGGAAGCTTACAAGAAGTGGAAACTTGGATAAACAACTAGGGAGGAGTATGAGAGTATTGCTCAGCCATGCAGGGATGAAGTTAGGAAAGCTAAAGCACAATATGAGTTGCACTAGCAAGGGACAGGAAAGGTAACAAAGAAGGATTTCTACGAGTATGTTAGCAACAAGGGGAAGATTCGGGAAAGTGTGGGTCTTTTACTAAATGAGGGAGGCAACCTGGTGACAGATGATGCAAAAAAGGCTGAAGAACTCAATGCCATTTCTACCTCAGTCTTCACAGGCTAGGTCAGTTCTGGTTGCACCTGGCAGCACAGTTTGGGGATGATGTGAGTAACTAATAGTTACAAAAGGACAGGTATGGGACTATTTAGAAAAGCTGGACATGTACAAGTCCATGGGGCCTGATGTGATGCAACTGAGGGTGCTGGAGGAGTTGGTCAATGTGATTGCAGAGCCGCTGGCCATTATCTTTGAAAGCTTGTGGTGATTGGGAGAAGTCCTGGATGACTGAAAGAGGGCAATATAGTGCCTGTCTTTAAGAAAGGGAGAGAGGATCCAGGGAACTACAGACTGGTCAGCTTCACCTCAGTCCCAGGAGAAAATCATGAAGCAGGTCATTAAGGAATCCATTTCCAAGCAGCTGGAGAAGAAGGTGATTAGGAACAGTCAGCATGGCTTCACCAAGGGCAAGTCACTCCTGACCTACCTGATTGTCCTCAATGGTGAAATGACTGGCTTTGTGGATGTGGGAAGAACAGTGGAAATTAGGGGTGTGTGAAGTGGGCCGTATTCAATTTGGATACAGCCCAAATCAGGGACAGTGATTCGGTTTGTTGATTCAGATCACTGTCCCCAATTTGATTCAGCCAAATCCAAATCTGAAGATTTGATGCTGATTAGGAGAATCAGTGATTCGGACATAGACACAGCTTTAAAATGTTTTTTCTACATACCTTGAGGTACCAGCGTGGCTTGTGAATGCTGCGATACTGGGGTGCATGGAGTGTCCCACAGGAGTGCGGTGGGGAGCCTCCACGTGCTTGGCAGAGAACCCAGAAGTGGACCAGAAATTACTTCCGGTCCATTTCTGGGTCTGCCAGGGAGGACGTGGAGCCCCCCCGCACCGGCTCAGCGATCAGCCACAGGGGGACCTGGGTGCCCCCCCCAGATCCAGGAGGCACCAGTCGCTGAGCCAGGGGGGCCCCAGCAGACCTGGAAGTACTTCTGGTCCACTTTTGGGTTTGCCGCCAAGCACATGGAGGGCTCCCCCACATTCCTATGAGATGCTCATTGCACCCCAGCATTGCAGCATTCATGAGCCGCCTGCTACCTAGAGGTATGTAGAAAAAACATTTAAACCTGTGCCAAGTCCAGCTTGCCAAATCTTTCTGAATCCATTCTGAGGGTTCCGATTCGACTCAGAGAGATTAAAGGGTCCTCCGATTTGATTTGGATTTGGAGATTCGGCCACTGAATCGGGCCAAATCAAACCAGCAACTGAAGCTTCACACAGCCCTAGTGGACATGATATACCTTGACTTTAGGAAGACTTTTGTTACAGTCTCCCAAAACATACTCGTGGGCAAGCTAATGAAGGACAGGCTGGATGAATGGACTGTAAGGTAGTCAGAAAACTGGCTGGATCATCAGGTTCAAAAGGTAGCAAATCAATGGCTTAATGTCTACTTGGCAACAAGCATTGAGTGGAGTACCCCACGGGGTGGTCCTGGGGCTGGTTTTGTTTAGTATCTTCATCAGTGCCCTAGAACAAGGGATGGAATGCACCCTCAGCAAGTTTGCAGATGCCACTAGGCTGGAGGGAGTAGCAGATATGCTGGAGGGCAGGGCTAGGATTCAGAGAGACCTCAACAAATTGGAGGATCAGGTCACAAGAAATCCAATGGGGTTCAATACGGACAGGTGCAAAGTCCTGCACTTAGGACTGAACGGTCCCATGCAGTGGTCAGACTGGGGACTGACTGGCTAAGCAAAAGCTCTGCAGAAAAGGACCCGTGGTTTACAGTGGACAATAAGCTGAACATAAGCCAATCGTGTGTCCTTGTTGCCAAGAAGGCTAATGGCATACTTGGCTGCATTAGTTCTTCCCCTCTATTCAGCGCTGGTGAGGCCTCATCTGGAATACTGTATCCAGTTTTGGTCTCCACACTACAGAAAGGATGTAGACAAATTGAAACATTTCAGCAGAGGGCAACAGAAATGTTTAGGGGGCTGGTCCACATGGCCAGGGATCCTGGTTTTCCCCGATTTAAAAAAAAAAAAAAAGCAAAAAGCAAATTCTCTGATAAAAACCCCAAAACCCATTATTAAAATTAAATGCCCCCATAGCCTCCCCCCAGACCTTCTGTTTCTGCCCCTGACTCCCCCCCACAACAGCCCCCCAGCCCTACTGGTATCCCTCATTCCCCCAGAGCCCCTCTGCCCCTGAGCCCTGCTCAGGCCTCTCACTCCTGCCCTGCCCCCCCAGCCTTGCTGGTGCCCCGTGCCATCACCCACAGCCTCTGCTCCCCCAGCCCTGCCAGAGGGGGTCCCTAGCTGTCAAGGCTATAGACCCAGGTCTGCAGCCCCCTGCCCCCACTCCCCCCTGCTGCAGGCTTGGGCGAGGTGGCTCCCTAACACGTCTTCCCTGCCCCCAAGAGCCCATGTGCCCCCAGATCTGTGCATGGGGCAGGCTGCAGGCTCAATCTCCCATCCTGCTTCTCTCCTGTGGGGCCTCTGCAGCCCCACAGGAATGGCCTGGTGTGGCTGGGAACAGCGGGGCTGTGCGGGGATCTTCTCGCCACCCCCCTGCCCTGCTCACGCACCTCCTGTGCCTGCTGCTGCTTTGAGGGGTGCAGCCCTGCGCCGCTTCCCTCTGTGCAGCCCCACATGCAGGAGACATCGCCGGGGCAGAGCAGGGCAAGCAGCAGTGAGATCCCCGTGCAAGCTCCTCTGTGCCCAGCCGTGCCAGGGTGCGGGGCAGGGAAGCAGGGAACAGCTTGTGTCATTCCTTCTTCCCTTGGCTTCTCTATGATCAAGTGTTTATTCCCAATTTTGGTAGCTAGAGATTGCAAGTGTAACCTTCACTTAAGAGAGAGAATTCCTAAAGAGTCTCTCTCATGTTAAAGCAGGATTTCCAGTCCTTTCACCATTCCATTGGTGAAATACCATTCTCTAAACCCTATTCCAGCTTTCAACATCTGTTTTAAATGTGGCTAGCAAAAATGAGCATGCTATTTCAGTAGCAGTTGCACTAGTGCCATATACAAAAATAATAACTGCCCTACCCCTGTCTGTACATCCAACTATCACCCTAGTTCTTTGACTACAGTGTCACATTGGGAATTCAGATTCACTTGACTATCTACCACAATTCCCATATTTTCTGAGTCATTACTTCTTCCCCATCTATTAGGTAGCTGGGGAGCAAGTAATAGCCTTTTTGCATAGAGCAAATAGCCATACCAGGATAACTGTGGACACAAGACACCTGTATAATTTTAGTAGTGTCATTTTATTGCTGTTTTTTCCCCAGAATAATGCTACAATTACATGCAGTAAGTTACACTGGTATGAGTCTGTATGTCATGGGTGCAATCCTTGTTTGCACCAGTATGAAGGCAGGTTAAGCATGGGCAAATATGTCATTGTTCCTAAAATACAAAATAAGCAGGAACAGATTTAAAAAGCTCCCTGACATTGCTTTAAATTTTGCTGGCTTTGGATTTCCCTTAGTGTCCTTTTACTGATTTTATGAATTTCCTAAAATTCCTAGTTTCCAAAACATACTTTATTTATATTCATTTCATCTTAGCCATTGAATCACACTGCTTCTCCTAACAGCTTATGTTCACTAAGTAAATGCTTATTTCATAAATATTAAAGAGACAAATGAACTGTAGTCTCATCAAAATCTTATTATAACTATCATATTTAGAGTGTACACTATATGTTTATGTACATTTTAAATAATAAAGCACAGTTAGAGCCCTTCCAGAGATTATTTTATATATAAACAAATGGATAAGAGGAAC